AAAGTCTTTGAGAAAGCAGCTCAACCAGTTTTATGAGAATAAATTTAGGAATTAATTAAAGTAGCTTTATAAGATATATTTTTACAACAATGTTAGAAATATCATCCTATGTACATTTTGGGGTTTAGAAATTCTTAAGATTTTAGAAGTATGGGTTTCTGCTATGTTTTAAGAATGATTTATAAACTTTAGGATATTTTAAGTATAAGATTTAAGGGGGCGTTTTTAGATGGGAATTTTAGATTAGAAATAAAGTAAAGGTGTACTTTAAATTTAAAGGTAAATGATAGGTTAGGAGACTTAGACTCTGGTTACGTAGTTTGGCATTAGTTAATAAGAAAATAGTAAATCTTGGGAAAATCTGAAAAATGTAAATTAGTGATACATTTTATTAATGATTCTGTACTTTTAATAATTAAATGTCATATCCTAGAAAAATGGAAATTAAATTGTATAATCAATGGCGTATCTGAATCTATAGTGATGAGAAAAATTGCACTAAAAGATGACCCAGAGAAAGCTGCATTAGAGCTCTCTCTCTGGAGATTGCTCCAACGGAATGACTCCTGTCTCATCTTTTAGCTGACACCACTCATCCTTCAGGACCCCCTGGACTCCACTAGGGCAAGACCCCAGCAGAGCCACGACCTTTTTCCTTTTTATTTTGAGACAAGGACTTGCCAAGTTCCTTAGGGCCTTGCTTAGGTGCTGAGTTTGGCGTCACAATTGTGATCCTCTGCCTCAGACCCTGAGTCTCTGGGATTAAAGGCAAACACTACTAGGTCTAACTGAATAATGCATTAAATGTGAAAAATTTGGAAAATCATTCCATTTTCCCTGTTGCCTTCAATGTCATTTCACTCACACTGGAAAACAACCCTAAGTATGGGGAAGATTGGGTACATTCTGTCAGCTTCCCATCCCAGTCCTGCTTTCCTTCTCTTATACAAAAATACTCACAGAGAGAAGCCCTGAGAATGTGATTAATATGGGAAGTCTTCTAATTTTCCCAGTTTTTTATAAGGTCTGGGAAGACTCTTCTTGAAAGATTCATGCCAAAATGAATAAATCATATGCAAGTAAGTGTTCAAGTGTTTTCAGTTTTGTTCAGTTGTATGAAAGGACTCATACTGTGGAAAATCCTGTGGAAAAGCCGTGTGGGGCAGTATTCAGCGTTCATGGTTTCTTTCAAAGACATTAAGGGATTCACATCAGGGAAAACCCTTCTTTTCTTTAAACAATGTGATGACACTTTCACTTTTCCATGTTCTTTTTGAACATCATGGAAAAACTCACTCTGGAGAAAAGCCTTATATATAAAAATGTGGTGAGACCTTCAGTTGTTTCAGATCCATTTAGACTTATATAAACTTGAGAATTTTTTATTTTAATTTCTTTTACTTTTTTTCTTTTTTTGGTACCAGGGATTCAACCCAGAGACACTTAACCACTGAGCCATATCCTAATTTTTTAAATTTTTTTTTCAAATATTTAGACATGGTCTCACTGAATTGCTTAGGTCCTCACTATGTTGCTGAGGTTGACTTTGAATTTGAGATCCCTTGCCTCAGCCTGCTTTTCCAGTGGAATTACAGTCATGCAACCCCTTCAGCAAGAATCCTCTTTTTTTGAGAAAACCAGTGTAGGCGTGTAAAAAGGGTGTGTGCCTTCATTTCTTTCTATTCACAGGTAATGAGAATGCACCCTGGATTGGATGTAGGAATTGTGTCAGCATGAAGATGTGAAAGCAACATGTTTCTCCCAGTTAAATATCTCTTCTTGTTAGATTTAATTTTTCTCTCTATATTTTTTGCATCTGCAGTCAACTCTCTGATATGATAACATAATCTTACTTTTACTATGTATGTGTGTGCAAAATGTAGTGTGTAATATAATTTTGTACTTAGAAGTATGCTATGCAATAGTACACAAGTTTTGTAGTTACAATGTATTAACCTGTATTGGCAGCATTTTAATTCTTTTTTAGAGTTTTCATCTCTCTTCTTTCCTTGAGTCCATTTT